TCTACTGCTCCCATTGGCATCAAGGAAGAGTCTCCTTTTTGTCCATTTTTTGTTTCTTTTTTTCTAAGTTGGAAATGAAATTTGAAAAAGGGGTCTCATTGGTGCTATGTTGGGAAACCCAAGTTTAAAAATTTGGGTTTGAATTTCCTTTATTATATAAATTATGAAAATAAATTGCAGATGTTGTGTGATTCAGAATTATTTTACATATATATTAAAGGAATATAAACATGAATTTTGAAATTTAAGTTCTCAAATAGATAAAATATCTTAGTCTCCTAATGCAAATTTAAGTTCTCATATGAACTATTAGATTCTATAATCAGAATTAATAAAATGGTAGTGTCGTGACCGTCTTTCGGTTAGGCCTCGGAATTGGGTTTTGACTTAGATTAAATGAATTGGAGTCACCACCGACCACTTTAAAACGAATTTAGGTGGGTCAGACACCATCTTACCTGATCTGCGTTACACCAGAAACGTGTCGAGTTTGAGAGTCGGTTACGGTCAAGGAAGGATTAGCACCCTTGAACCGCCCTTTCGGTACCAATTAATTTATCAGTTGTCTTTAATTGCGAAAATCAGAATTTAAATTAAAATTTAAATTATTCGATTCGAATTACTTACCCTTTGATCGGTTGGAATTACGACTGAAACAAAATATGTTAGATAAAAAACAAAAATAAATATGAAAACAAAATGTTAATATGATAATAAAAAAATAATAGAAAAAAAGATAATAAAAATGAAAGAAAAAATTATTTTTAAAAAATAATACAAAAAATGAAATAAAGCAAAAAATAATAACAAAAGGTTAAGTTTTAAAAAAATATATTTAAAAGTAAAATAAAGAAAAAAAATAAAAACTAAAAAATAAAACTTAGGATCAAATTGGGCTGAATGAATTAGAAAATGAACTGCAAAAGAACAAATAAAAAGTTAGGGGACCAATTCATAAAATATAAAAAAATAAACATGGACTAAATTGATTAAATTGGGAATTCGGAGGCAAATTTACAAAATGTCATGGACTGCAGAGAGGATTTAAGAATCCTCTAATTGCACAGAGGCCCCTGGTATTTAAATAGGCCAAGAGACCCTCTCCCAACTTCATTTCTCACATTTCTTCCAAACTTCTTCTTCTCCAAACGAGAGAAGCTCCCAAGCTCTCTCCCTTTACCTATGGCCGATCAAAGTCCGGTGGCTTCTCGCCGTGCCACCGCGAGTGGCGGCCGGAAAAGCCAACCCTTTAGCAAAATACTCCCCTCAACCTCGTACACACAAATCCGAGACCCAAAACACCAAAACTCACCCCTACTAGCGTAGATCTAAAAAAACTCTTCGGTTTTTTACCTTTGCCGACAAGCTCTTTGTCTCCCGCTTTGACCTCCGACGAAAGTCACCGACTTTTCGAGTTTTGCTTGGCTTTGTCTATGTTTCCTTTCGACCTTTCACTTTCTGTGAATAGGTGTTTTCATACGAGGCTTTCTCGTATTTTTTCAGTGTATTTGGTTTGTATTTCGACTGGTGTTTGATGGTTCTGTTTGGTATTTGACAGATGTTTTTTTCTGTGGCTCGTTTGTTGTTCGATGATGCTTCGATATATCTGTTGTTGTGGTACTGGTTCGATGTTTGGCTTTGCTCTGTGTGTTCTGTGATTTCTGGCAGTGTTGATCTCGGGCAATATACTGTCGTTGATGGTTGTTGCGGGTATGTGTTCTCAGTTCATTCTGTGTATCCCCCTGTTGGCCTCACCGAGGGATTTTTATAGCCCCGATGTTGGTTACTATTACTCTGAGATAGGGGGATTCGTAGGATGTGTTTATTCCACCATTTCCGTGCACGCCGTTTGTGATCCCGACCATCCAGGGATGTGTCAGTCCCGAGACTAGCCGGCCGTTTTGGAACGGACTCTTGATTTCCTGGATTATGCGACGCTTGTGCTGATGCGTGAAAACCCTAATATGCTGTTGGACTTGTTCAGGCCCAATCTAGACTGAAATTTAGACTGTTATTGGACCCTAAAAACATAAAAATAAAATAATAAAGAAAATGAATAAATAATAATAATATAATATAAATTATATAATATATATACTTCAAAAACATTTTTTAAACTATATATTATATTTAAAGTTTTCAAAACTATATATTATATAGTTTTCAAAATGTTTTAAAAATATTATATAAGTTTTCAAAAAATGTTTTTAGAACTATATATTATATAATTTTTTCAAATTTTTTTTAAAACTATATGTTATATAATTTTTCAAAAAAACGTTTTTAAAATTATATATTATATAAATTTTCAAAAATATTTTAAAAAATATTATATACTATATAAGTTTTCAAAATATTTTAAAAACTATATATTATATAAGTTTTCAAAATGTTTTAAAAACTATATAATATATAAATGTTTTCAAAACTATATATTATATATATTTTCAAAAGCCATATAATATACGAACTTTCAAAAATCGTTTTCTGAAAATTATATATTATATTTTGTCAAAAACATTTTCACAAACTATATTACTATATACATATATATATATATATATATATATAAAACCAAAATAACTCCGGGCGAAAATGAGTATCTACATGTAGACTACTTTATTTAGCCACTCAAATTTTTGCATGTTTTTGATTTGATCACTCTTTTTTTTTAATTTTGGACTATAATTTCCATTGTCCAATCAATTTGAAACAATATTATATCGCTCATCTCCTCTATTTTTGCATCTTTAAAATTTCGAAGAATAAAAAAAATCAAAAAGTAAGCTTGATACTATTAACAGATAATTTAGAGGGTTTTTACTAAATTATAATAAAGTGGGTTTCTAAAAAAACAAAAAAAAAACATGACCTATCATAATATAATTAAATAATTAATAGTGGAGTGATTAAAAAAACTTATTTTCCAAATTGAGTGATCGAACTGAAAATTTTAAAAGTGATGGACCAAAATAAAAATATATGTGATGTTGAATGACTAAAAGAATAGTTTATCCTTATAAAAATAAGGTTTATTTTATAAAAAACCCTAAGAAGAGGATGTTCTATAATATTTTAATCTAGTTATATATATTAAAAATATATATGGTAATGCATTATAAACTTATCTTTTTATAAAAATTTAGGATTAACCACCTGGATAATCACTTATGTTTGTCTTTAGTCCAATTTTGGTCATTGATTTTAAAAAACATAAGATATAATCACTTTCGTTTTTTACGTAATTAAGATATGATCACTTTCGTTTTTATTTATTTAAGACGTGGTCATCATGAGTTAACTATTGTTAACAATTAACAGAATATGTGACGTGATAGTTGGTATAATCACACATTTAGTCTCTGTTATTTATATATTCTCTCAAATTAGTCACACTTTTAAATAAATTTTAACATAAAATATATATTTTTAAATGAAAATAAAAAAATATTTTTAAAATTAAGTTAATAATAAAATATATTTAATAAGTAAATATAAAAAAATTAAATTTAATATTATATAAAATATTATGAATTATAAATAATGTATATCGAAAAATACATGCACCATAGGACTTAATTTAATTGAAGTGATAATTACTAAACAAACGGAAAAAAAATAGGGACCCTGCCAAAGGGATTTGAACCCGACGTGAATCGAACACGCAACCTTCTGATCTGGAGTCAGACGCGCTACCATTGCGCCACGGATCCCTGTTCAGTAAAGGGCTTAATTTTTTTATCTAATCATTATTAATACTAAATTACGAAGTGCATAATATCGAGGTTAAAGAAGGAAAATAGATAAAATCAAGTGAGAAACGTAACAAGTGTCGGGTCCTATTCTAACAACAATCGGTCAGTAAGGGGTAATTTATATTTAAAATTAATTCATTTAATTTGAATATAAATTTTTAATGAATCAAATTACATTATTTGTTTTTTATTATTGATAGATTAAGCCATTTATATTAATATTATTAAATAATTATGAAATATTAAAATTAATATTTCGATTAATATATTTTCACACATATTATCAAATAATGTTTAATTGTTGATTTCGATAATATTTGTTAATATGTTTTAAAATATTCATTCAAATAAGTTCAAAGAAAAACTATTTTTTTTATAAATCTTAACATAAAATATACTTTTTTTAGTAGAAGCATTTAGCCTTATTAGAATACGAAAATATCTAAAATCATAACAAGAATTTACAATTAACATCGTAAAATAAATACATAAACCTGGATATTTTCCTATAACATTGACACATGAAGAAACTAGTCACTTTAGATAATACAATGATTATACATAGAAAAGATTAAAAACCTAACTAAAAGACTTGAACGAAAATTAGATACGAACGAATTTACCCGAACACGCCCCAGATACCCATATTGTTATTTGTAGATTCAACAAAACAAACACACGGCCCTTTTAAAACCCTATTTGAATAGAAAAGGGAATTACTCGGCCAGCATCTAACTGTACAGGGAAGCAAGCAAGCAACTATGGAGGTGGAAATCAACCTTTTATGAACATATCATCTGAACCCTATCCTTCAATTAGTAGAAGCATCATGCATAGTTTTATACACATCCAGCATGCATAATGTGATGTCACGACACCATTAATCTCACCTCAAACAAGTTAACGAAAAGTCGGAACACCTTCGAAATCTTCTGCCATCTACACAAGACCGACATTTTAGAACAAACAAACACGGTACAATGCGCGTACAAGACGCTGTCATGATCGCCTGGTCTATAAAAGGTAGAGTTATGTCAATATGCATGTACACACATGAAGCTGTACACTCTCTAACAAATAAGCAGGCAAATCAGGAGGGGGTGTTGGGTTCGTCGCATACAACAGCCATATAAGCCACAAAAATAGAGCAAAAACAGAGCATTTCTATTTAAGGTCAAGCTTCAAACATGTTTGAAGACAATGCCAGGCCAAATAAACAAGGTTCATATATTCCTAAGCCAATACTTGCTGCAGAAACCAATTCTTCGGAAGTATAACGGTAAAGCTTCGACCACGACAAGTAACGGTTGAAGCATAAACTGCTAAAAAAGGCATTAAAACTCGGAATAAGTGGAAAAGGTATCGAATCTAATACCGTGCAAATTTGTTGGATATGGCAGCACTAGAAAGTTGCTGGAAATAGTTATCAAACATGGAAAACGCCAGAGAAGTAGTATGCAAGAACAGGACAAATGAAAAACGGTTACGTTCAACCAGCATGGCTACGCACAAGATTTAAGTTTCAATAGATTCCAAGGTCCTCGCACCCTTCTCGAAAATATAAGCCTATGCAACAAAGATATCATGAACTTATTCGATGCCACTGCCAGTAGCAGAAAAGATTGGAATTATAAAGTTAAAGTGAATCAAAAGCTTTCCACCTAATTCTCAATCAATCATCAACATTCAACGGTAATCTGAAGTCGATACAATTGAACATCAACACAACACTCGGCATTCGACTTCAAAAAGATTTCCATAATAGGAAATTATAAAAGAAAAGAAACCGACAGTTTTCCACCTTTTAAAGCGCCCATAGCTTTCTTTTTCAACTTATCATGCACAGTTAGATCGTGTTACCAACTTACCCTACCTGATATTCAACAATCGCATTGATACAACAATTAATCACAAAACCTAGAAGAGAATATGAACCACCGATTATCTGCAAAATCTGGAGGAGAATATGAACTATTTCCCGAAGCTAAATTTCAGTTCGCCAAAATGTATATGTTCTCTCTGATATTTACCCATTTTATACATCAAGTTTGCAACCTAGGCACCAAAACTCAGAAGTGGAACCCATAGCATCATTCTTACAAACATTTTTGGCCAAGATTTAGATGAGGAACTACCAATTTCATTACATCCAAGTTCAAAGAACAAAACCCTTCTGGAGCCACATAATAATCAATTCTTCAAACCTAAATCCGATCAAGCATTTAAAGCAGCACATCAATTCAATCAATGCACATAAAAAAGCAAGATGATATGAAATAAGACCATCATTGGCATAAACAAGAAAATTAAAATGAAACATTCATTGAAAATATGAAAAAATCCATTGATTGAGCTTGTCAAGGTGAAAACTATAACAATGACTAAGCAAAAGAAACACTTAAGGCTTCAAAGTACAACCTAAAGTTCCATAAAACGTCAAAGTATGTTGAGAAGTACCTATCCCCAAAGCAACAGCGAACAGAATATACATGATTAAAACCAAACACCATGTAATTGTTGTCAAGAGGCTACAACTAATCTCAAAGTACCCAACCTACTTATTTGACCCCTGTATAAGCCGATATCTAACAATCGAAAATGTGCAACTTGCTTTGCCCCCATGAGCCAGCAGCAGGGTCCCAATCCTTGTACAATTGCAACAACCCTCCAAGACAACCAACTCCGAAAACATATCAAGCTACACCGTCCTTTTCATCAAATTCCCTACAATTCTATGGTCAAACTTGAATAGAGTTCTCCATCTCCTCCCCATCGCTACAGCAAGAATTGGTCACAGTTTTCCTTACTTCTTCCTCACAATTAAGCAACTGCCTTGCATTGGTCCCTGCAATTTTCTTCTGGCTACACTCAACCAAACCCTTCCCCCTAGCTTTCATATTCAGAATACCGCAAAAAAAATCAGTTAAAACCATTTCATAACCCGGAATTTTCGCATAACCCGGAAAATAGTTAATGTCAATGATAAGATAACGATTCCCGAACCGGGTATCCCTTATCACATCGAAGTTAAACAAATTCAATTTCATGGCCTTTCTCAAACCTTTAGCAATATCTGTCATAAAACTTTGTGGCGGCAATTCAGTATCCTCCAAATGCATCATCTTATAATACTGATCATCATTTTTCTCGTGAGTAGGCAAATTGGAAACTTGAGAAAACCGTAGAGACCCTTCTAAAGTCTTCAATTTTTCTTCCGAAACATCCGGCAATGACTTCCTTTTAACACATTGCACATAGTCCCCAACCACGTAAACCTTGAAAATAACCCCTCCATGGTTAACAAACTCCTGCAACACAATTGGGGGCTTAAGCTTGTTCAAGCCATCGCTGTTAAAAACCAGAGTCATTTTGTGCGATTTTGCGCTCCCATCGGCCACCAATGGCTTCGCGATCACTGGAAACTTAAGCAACTCCCATGCTTGGTCATCGAATAGGGTTTCTTGATCGTAAATCACAATCTGTTTAGGGATCCCAAATGTCTCGCTCTGATTCTCGATCTTCAGTTCCGACACCACCTGCAGCATCGAAATCCTGTTGTGTAGCCGTCCAATCGCGTCGGGTGAATCTACGATTACGGCATTAGGGTTTTGAGAACGGAAATCTTCGAGCTGGCTCTTCCATTCCTCGCCGTACAACTTGTGAAGCACGCAATCAAAAGGCCCTTGACCGACCAAAGGACGCTCCCTGTCAATCTTAACCAGATCCACGCCTCGCGATTTCGCCAGATTCACCAGAGATTCCCGAATAAAACTGTTCTCTTTCTTCGGCAATAGCGCGTAGCCAATCTCGAATCTCCTCTCCTCCCCCGCCATTTCTCTGATATCCCCCCCAAGCCCAATTCGATACTATCTTTATATATAAAAAGCCAAAATTATCTTCTTCCCACTTGTTTTCTCCGCCGCTTCAAAGCTCGATTTCATAAAACGAAACGCTCTTTTCTTTTCATTTTAGATTCTTCCCGAGAACCAAACAGAAAACGAATTCACCACCAATGACTCATCAAAAGACTCGATTTCTTGAAAATTTTTAGAGTGGGTTTTCCTTTTAAAGATATATCTGATTTAATTTCTAGGAAATTTTCGCTCGGGGCTTCGTAGGAATCGAAAAATAACGAAATGCAATTCGTTTGAGGAAGAAGTATTTATAGCCATGAGGACTAGGGCTAGAGAGATGATAGAGTGACCCGGGGTGAGTGTTCTGGCGATACACGTGGCGTGCTCTGGTGACGATTTGCAATTCGCGCCGCATAATTAAGAGAAGACGTGGACGGTAGTTGTTATATATAAAAGTGACAGCTGAGTGATGAGGGGTCAACGTTTGATTGAAATATTAGTTTCTCCAATTTGGGGAATCTTTGTAGGAAAATAAAAAGAAAATGGAATTTGAAAATGTTTGGACTCTTTTACTACTTTTAGACTTTTTATTAGGATAAATTAGGACAGAATAACGAAATCGAGAAAATCGAAAAATTGATATGAATTGAATAAAATAGTTCGATTCGGATTTATCTTATATGATTTGATTTCGGGTTAATTTAAATATTCAAAATTTTTAATTCGGTTCGAGTTTTTCATATGGAACTCATTTGTTTCATATTGAACCAAATAAACAATTTGGGTCAGTCCAGCCGATTACCTACTTACCCTTACCCATAAGCGGTAAGCCCAAATGGCCAATTAAAGTAAATACAAAAAACCCTAAATCTTTCGATTTATGAAAAACAGCATTACCGAACCGAATCGAATCGAAAAAATCGGTTTTATATATTTCGATTTTTTAACTATTCGGTTTCGGTTTCGATTTAAATTTTAAAAAACCGTTTATTGCGGTTCGATTCAATTTTTAGTAAAAAACCGAACCGAATACACACCTAGAATGAATATCTACCCAACTCCATATATTATTATTATTATTATTACTATTATTATTATTATGTGATATTAATTTAAATCTTAAGTATAATTCAACATTTATATTGCACGAACCAAGTTACATTAGTGGTTAAAAGAATTGTTGTTGTTTCTAAAGATCACGAGTTCAAGCATCAAAACCGTAATAAAGTAATTAAGCATTTATTATCAGATGATTAAGAGCATTTAGAATTAGATATTACTTTATAATCGCCTTAGCTTAATAAAATAAATCAATGTATATATTAATTACGTGAATACTATAATTTTGACATGTTAAAAATGGTTTTAAAATTGAGTGAATTACGGAATTGCTATATTTTGTTTTCGATCTATTTTATTTTTAATATATTTTATTTTGATCACTAATTTAAAAAAACACGATATAGTCATTCTTGTTTTCGATCTGTCTTATTTTGGTCATTAAGTTGTTAACTCCCGTAAGATTGATGACGTGTCATGTTAGTAAAAATTATTAAATTTTAACTCGACCTTTAAGTTTTAGATAGAATTCTAATTTTACCCTAAAATTTAGAGAAAATACCAAAGTCATTGCCGTCAATTGTCACTCATCATCGTTATCGATCGTCGTTGATTATTGTTCATTATCTATCATCGTCGTCGAAGGCTGTTGGAATTCAAAATTTCTAGTTTATTCATATTTTAAACTGTTAAACATGAATATGATATATGTTTCACCTCACAAATCTTGTATAGAACCCTTCAATTCCTTTAAAAGTAAACCATGACGATAAAATTTTTATTATATTCTTTTAAAAATAAGTAAATCAAAAATCAAAATTTATATCATAATACATCTGTATAATAATAATAATTTAATCCATATAAATTTTGATAAATTATATATTTTAATTTATATAAATTTATATTTTAATTTTGATAATATATATACACGAGACATTATATTAAGGGGTGAATTTCTAAAATTTTATGAGGACACAAACTTATAAAATTCTAAAGGTAAAAATATATTAACAATTGAAAATATTAAAAAATCTAAAATATATATTATTTTAAATTTTTTAGGGCGTTTGAAGAACAAAATAATAGTTAGGCGACTAAAGTAAAATTAAAGTGATAATTAGGTGACTAAATACTTAATTTACTAAAAAACTAAGGTAAACTATGTGTTTAGTACCTAAACTATTAGTTTTGACATGTTTAAATATCTAAATGTCAGTGTTAAAATTGACAAAATAATGGAATAAACGAGTCCAAACCTAAAAATGAGTGATATTTGAAGCAGTTAATCCTAAAAAAAAATTAAATACTAAAACAAATCAAAAATAAATAATTTGTGTACTAAACGAGTAGTTTACCCAAAATTTATTTGGATTCATCATCTCTACCCTATCCACACGTGCTTTTTTCAAAAAATTATTTTACTTTTTCAATGGCTCGCTGAAATATTTATTTTTAATGCGTGTGTCAGCAGTTTTAGGGCTATTATTGTTATTGTCAGGTTGACAGACTATGTAGATCGGATAGTTACACTTTAGATTTTGTTCTGATGCATCGCGTAAGTTTATCAGAGCTTTTATCTATACG